GATTGGGGAGTCATGGGAGAGGGGGCTGCGGCTGTGGACTCCCCTTAGCATAGCCTCGTATTCGTCAATGCGTCTGTCTCTCGCCTTGACAGCGCGCTCATAAAATGCACATGTTGATGGCGCGTGTTTGGCATGGCCAATCTAAGGGCTGAGAGAGGAGGCTAGCCTCTGGCATCTCGGCTGCACTATTGTTACAAACATATATGTGTATATAATACATATGTATATGGTATATCTATAAAGTATATAGTTTATATATCTTTGAAATGCTGTGCGCGTGTGCGACTGTTCTCGTACTATCAATAGCTGCAGCCGCCTTCATTTCAATCAAGTTGCCCTATTTGATTTGAATTAAAATAAGTCACGTGGGTAGTGGCTGACATTTTCCGTGCTCCCACTCCACACTGCCCCCTGCTCACACTGCTCCCACTGCTCCCACTGCTCCCACTGCTCCCACCCTCCATTATCCATGTATCTGTAAGATGCACAAACACCACCACCCGGACTCCGGTGGTTGTTCCAGGGGGCAGGGCGGGGACTGTGGCTGACCTAAATTCATTTAAGTCGATCGATATTTTGTGTGCTGCACTCTCTCGCTCTGCTGTGGGCTGCATGACCGAAAAAGGCAAAAGTGTATCGTATATAGAGCATACTACGTTCCATATAGTAGTACAACAACAACAACAACGACAACAACAACAACTGCAACAACTGCATTGCAATTATTGTGAAATTCTACTACAATGGAAATAGTACGGCAGTTGCAGGCAGCTGCCAGCGTCAACGTCGACGTCTCTGTCTATCTCTCTCTCTCTCATTCTCTCTCCGTCTCCGTCGTTGGCTTCCGGCTACGTACGTCCATTGTCACAGATGTGTGTGTATGTGTGTATGTGTTGGTGTTTTAGTTTGGGCTTGTGGGCGTTACTGACATTCCATTGTTGACTCTTGAGCCTCGACATGAGCGTGGGCGTGAGAGTGGGCGTGGGCGTGGGCACTCACAACTTTGTTGGCCAGAAGGCAAATTTATTCTTTGCCTGGTCTCGTGCGGGCCAACTCTTCTCTCTCTCTCTCTCTCTCTCTCTCTCGTTCAGCCCTTGAGATGCAGTTTCTCAAATGTGGCACAGATGCCTCCTGCTCAAGCAGTCCTCTTCTGTCGCACTCATCAGGACTCGGCTCAGCGCATATAGTATCTATATTGTAGCTATATGTTTTGTTCAACTGCTGCAGTGGACCTTGATAACTAATAGCAGAGTTGACAGTGAAGGCCTTATCCTGATGCTACTGCAAGGAAAGGTGTGCTTTGATTCAATCTGAGGGATACTGCCTTGGCTAGCACTGAGGCACTGAGAGAACCGAGGATATACTATATTGAAACTACTTTAAGAAAAACCCTGATTCTGTTTATCAATAGTCATTTCTCAACAGTCAATCAATCTGCTCAAGACATGGTAAGTCTCTTAGGCAGCTAAGCATTCAATCAATCAATCATTCAAATTCTATCATAAAAGTCACAATCCTTTCATCCATCTGTGGCTCAATCAATTTACCTGTCATTTAGTTAGTCAATCAATCTGTCAATCGTATGCTAAGCATCTTAAACATCTCATCATCAGTCTGTATATGGATCAGGCAATTTATCAATCAATTAATCTATCATCCGACAGTCAGTAGTCGAAGAACAATTATCAAGTCCGTCAGTCAATCAATAAGTCAGAAAGGCAGTCAATCAGACAGTGCAGACTGGCAGTAAATCACAATTTAAGTCGGTAAATGATCATCAGTCACTCAATCAATACATCAATCAGTGCTTACATTTAGACTCTCTCTCTCTCAGATGCTCCATCAGTTAGTAGATCAATCAGTCAATCAATAAATTTAGGGCTTGCAGTTGAACAACTGCAGCTATTTGCCTGGAACGATGCCATTGTGTTCCAAGACTGTGGCAAGAACTACGCTTTGCCTCAACATCTGTGGCGCAGTGCACATACGCCTAGTGGGCGTTAGCTGCATTGCGAACTTACTGCAGGGGATGGACATGTGCTGCTTAATGGGGGTCTTGGATGAGGACGAGAATGATGACTGGAGCTGGGGTTGGGGGTTGGGGGTTGGAGGTTGTGGATATATATATTCAATGTTGGCAAAACTCATTACGACGCCGCATGAGTGACATTTCCACGCTGTCAACATGACACATTTCATAGCGAGACAGAGAGAGAGAGAGAGAGAGAGAGAGAGAGAGAGCAAAGAGGGAGCGAGAGAGGGAGATGGTAAGGCATTTCCCTTATATACATAGATATTTATATTTGCAACCACATTCTTTGGCATGCAAGCCACTGTGCGGCTTAATGTGGCACGGCTGGCATTGCTGGCACCGCTTGCGCCCGCCCAGCAGCTAGCCTGCCCCCATATGCTGCAATATTGTTGCCTTGTTTCCATTTGACGGCAGCGAACTTTGGAATTACAACGCATTTCTTCACTTTCGCATCGCTGGCTTCTAAGAAGATTATTATTGTTGTTATTATGGAGTCGAGGCGAGTCGCGGCGAGTCGGGGGGGTCGGGGCGAGTCGCCTGGAGTGGAGACGTTGCCTTTGTTTTATGCGAAAATTGAATTTGCCGCTCCCGCCCCCTCCCCCACCGGGCCGTGTGGCTATGCGTGCCACAATGCATCGCTCGGCTAATGGCGACGCATGTCAAACATTTGCTGAGCTTTTGTGTTTAAATATTACTAATACGACATGTTGTGCCAGCACGCGTGCCAGCTAGCAGCTTAAGGGTTGCGGCCACCACTCCTCCCCTCTGTCTCTCCCTCTCTCCCTCGCTCTGTCTACCTCTGTCTCGCTCTGTGTGGCAGCGTGTGTTGTGGCCATAATTGAATTATATGCCAGCCGGCAAGTCCAAAATAATTGTTGTTCTGCGAGTGCTTGATTACGCCAGATACTGTTTAGTTTTTAGCTAGTGCAGATATGAGTTGTCGGCCTGACACTCACACACACACACACACACACATCATAGCCTGCAATTAAGCGGAATAACTCAATTAGCTCGTCATTTCAATTATATGCCAAGCGGGGCTAGCTGACATTTAAAGTGCAAATCGCCAGTCAGGGCAGCGGCTGAGCTTTCGTGCGACAGAAATGGCAGGTGGAGTGACTTTTGCGCCCTCAATTGAAAAGCGAAAAGTTTAATTGGAACGCTCGCTTTTCACAGTTTTCAATTCGCAATTCGCCGTATAATGTGAGCCGCTGAAGAGGCAGGGGCGTGGCAGTTGGCCTGGCTATGGAGAATGCGAATAATACGGCGAGCGCAGGCACAAAAGATGTTTGCAGTTAAATTAAATGAAAAAGTTTACAACTTTTTTAATGAAATCATTTCATGCTTCTTTTTGCAGCATAAACAAAGCGCTGCAACAATAGCAAACAAAACAAATGCGCCAGTTGCAATGCCTGGCACAAAAAAAAAGTATGCATAAGAAAAGAAAACCTAGAAGAAAAGTAAACTGAAAGCAAATATAGAAGAGAGAGGGCGTGGGGAGAGGGGGCTGCAGATAAACTTGGAAGAGAAACTTGCATGCAGCCAAAAGGGCAAAGCGCAAAGATTCTGCAAAGGACCAAAACTTATGTGTAGACAAAGCATATGTGTGTGTGCGCGTGAGTGGTGTGTGTGTGTGTGTTGGTGCATGTGTGTATTTGCACTGCTTGCAAATGAAAGTTTGCACAAATTGTATTTGATCTAGCATGTTAAAGTCTTTAAGGCGTTCAACGTGTCGTATACGTAATCTGCGCACAGATCGAAAATGCATTGAGACAAGGAGCTAGCTGGCAGCAATGCAGATTGTGTCGGCTATGTAGATGGAGGCATGCAACCGCTGCTCCCTCTGGCTAATGATGATGCTGCCCATGTCCTTGCCTGCCATTGGCTGTAGGACTCAGCCCTGGGGTTCATATTTGTGTCAGGGCTAAAACGCCGAGCTGAACTAATCCAAGTGTCAGAGACAGCAAACGGCTGCCGGGAAATATGCCAAAAAATGAGAGAGAAAACAGCAGAGAGCCGAGCTATCTCCCATACACACTGAACTTAAATGTGCTAACAGCAGCGTGGCAACCGAGTGGCAGTTAAGTGGTTTCAGCATTGCCAAACCACCAGAAGCCAAACAGAACGAGCCATCAGCCAAGCGGAAGGCAGTCAACACTTGGCGAGTGGCATACCTAAGCCATCCTTTGAGGAGTCCTTCTCTAACTGTTCCCCCTGTGACTATTTTCCCCCTTTGACAACTTCTTGCTCCCACTTCAACTATCGCACTCCGCCTTTGCTAGAGCTCTTCAACAATTCTCCCGCTTTACTAACATCCCTTTAACTGTCGCCTCTTAAGTACCCCCTCTGCTAGTGGTTAATGCACGCATTTCCGTTTCCTTTCGCTAGTCAGAAATTTATGTTTTATTGCAGCTGTTGCGCCCCCCCCCCCCCTTCTTTTTCCCGGCCGTGGTCACCCCTTTTGGCGCCTAGCCTTTGCCTAACGCTTTTATTGGCACTGTGATTTCTGTTGCTGCTGATGCCACGCGGATTACGCTTCAAGGCGCATAACTCTCGACTCGACACGAGTCGCCATGACTCTGCTGCGCATTAATCATAAAGCGGTTTTCATGGCTGCCACAGCCCCTAAGCCCCACTCCACGCACCCCTATTGCATTTAATTTGGCATTAAGTGCATTCGAACGATGGAGCATAAGCTGGAGAGCAGAGGCAGCAGGAGCAGCCGGAGCAGGAGCAGCAGCTACAGTCATCGACAGGAGCAGCGGCTCCCTCAAGGCACTTAAGCCACTTTACGAGTATTCCCTATAATAAAGGACTCTCGCATCGCCTTACCTGTGAGCAACGATTTCAGCAGCTTTAGTTTTCGCATTCGACTTGGTTTTTTTATGGGCGCCGACATTATGGCGGCACATGTATTTATGAGGCGTCATCAGGACAGAGGGCACACACAGGTGAGCGGGTGACCTGTATGAGGTGGGAGAGGTGGGTGAGCCGACTGAGCCGAGTGAGGCGGGTGACCGTGCGCTGCATCAAAAGTAAGCAAAATGTAGACACAATGTAAGCGGCGGCTAATACCTGCCATAAAAACCAATGATGACATCAGCCGAATTGCATTGAAAGTGCGTCACTAAATGGAAAATGGAGAAAGGAGAACTTAAAAGTTTCCCAATTCAATTTCAATTTCAGTTCCATTTCAATTCCACTTTTCAATCAGGGACAATAAAATGCAGCCTAATTGAAAAACTTTTCCTTATATATATTTTCCTATTCAATTCAAGTTATCGCGTAGGGTTCGGTTAACAGCTCAATGAAGCTCTTCTTCTTTGATTACGATATGATACTTCAGTTATATGTAATCATATAACCATGTCTTTCACTCTACATCTCACCTTGTATTCAAGTCCTCTGTTATTCAGCTGTCATGACTCACTTGACAAATAATTTCGAAACTAGTCTAAATTGTTAGGAAATTACAAATTTTTAACTTGTTCTAAACCAGCTAAATGGCTGATGCGGGGGAGGAAGAAGCTCCAGAGGGAGAGGCCGTTGAGACGGCAGAAGAAGACGAAAAAGCAGAGGCAGCAGCCGAAGAGCAAGAGGAAGCAGTGGACGAGGACAAAGCCGATGAGAGCGAGGTGGATCCCTTCGAGCTGCTGGACGAGACGAGCGAGGATAATGAAGAGGAGCATCGCATGTACCGCGAGTATCTCGATCTGACGAAGGAGATCGATTGCCAGAATGCAATTATAAGCGATCTGAAAGAGCGAACACGCGATCTGTGTGAGAATCCCTGCAAGACCTACAAGGAAAGGAACGAGATAAAACAATTGCTCAACTGCCTCGATAAGGAGAAAATCAAACTGAATATCATGATTAATCGGGCTATGCAACTGCAGAACTTTGGATCGAAGAGGGCCTATGGCGCTATAGAGCTAGCCACAACCACTATAGAGGAGAATTTACTCCGCAGCGCCGTAAGTTGCTCAAAGACCATCAAATGTGCGTCAGCCAACAGCAAGCCAAAAACTGCGCAGGAAATTTGCGATGCCCTGGATGATTCGGACTCGGACTCCGATGACGATTGTTGTTGACCAAAGCTACATGTACTATGAATGGATCTCTTTATGAGTACAACCTTGTCTACTCGGAAATGGGAATGAACTGCTCGTAAAATCACACATAGATGTACTCTAAATATGTTCAAAATCATAAATTAAAATTTATTTGATATGATTTGTAGATCTCAATAAGTTTTCCTTGTGGGAAGTTCATGGAATACTGTCAAAGCATTAACAAAAATTAAGAACTGAAAATCAATTTCTGTTGAAAGGAAAAACAGTTGGAATATATAATATTCTTCGAAATTTTCTCTGGAAATCTTTTTATTCCCATAAACAAGCCGTAATTTAAATAGTATTTCAATTCATAGAGTTTTTCCTTCCGTAAGCTCCCAACAAGCATTCACATAGATAATTCACATATTTTCTATCCCATTTTATTTGAGAATCCCTACAAATGGAAATGATGTCGGCGAGGATAGTTGGGAGCGACTGGAGCTGGGGACGTTGGGAGTGGCGTCTGTTTGGGGGGAACCGCTCATTGAGCAATTCATTCAATCGACGAATTCAATAAAGTACAACTAATAAAAATGAAGCGAATGGCAATGAGAATGCGAATTGCCAGCGAAGACTTTGGGGGGCCAAGGCAGAAGAAGATGAAGCAGCAGCAGCAGACCCGCAGGAGGCGGGCGGGCGGTCAGGCGGGCGAGCAAGAGAATTACAATTTTCTCGCCATTTGTTTTTGTGCCACGCAACACGTTTTGCTGTCATAATTCGCCAAGCACAAGAAGAAGAACCCCAACGCAAAAACAACAAATAGCAAAAGCGAGAGACAAAAAAAGGGCAGCAACAAGAAAATCGCGCGCATTTTGCAGAATGCGAATGCGAATGTGAATGCGAAGGGGAACCTCAATGCGACGTTAGTGGTCCATCAAATGCTTGTAAACAAAGCCAGCAAACGAGAACGACAACGACAACGTCAACGACAACGAGAGCGATGATAAAGAGGAGAGAAGCAGCAGCGGGAGAGGACGACAGGGCAATAACATGGCTCTGTCTGTGGCGGGCGAAGTGCATGCAATGGCAATGGGCACAAAAACAAAAACAAAAGCAAAGGCAAAGGCAAAAGCAAAACTGCGAATGCGAACGGGAATACCAGCCAGCCAGCCAGACAGAATGAGGGGATCAAAGCAAAACTCGCAAGACAAACACAAAACTGAAGGAGCGGCAGCTCTGAAACGCTTCGCTTCTCGGGTGGCGGGTGGTGGCTGGTGGGCGGGGGGAGGTTGGCTTAGGCCCGGGGGCAGTCGTCGATGCGAAGTGGTAATGGTAAATGGCAGCGAGTACAGCACAGTTGGCGTCTGGCCTGTGCTCCTGTCTCGTTTTTTTCTCGTTTTCTGTTCTCTGTTTTCTGTTGTTTCCTTCTGCTGCCACGCCCATGCCCATGCCCATGCCCATGCCCATGCCCATGCCTATGGCCCTTTTGGCATCCACGTTTCACATTCACAACGTTTCACTGGCGTCTCTCTCTCTCTCTCTCTCTCTCTCGCTCTGTCTCTCTCAAAACAAAGTCAACTCCTGAAAGGGGAACGTTTTTGGCGCGCAAATCCATAGTAAATGAAGCCAACATTCAACTGACGTTGACTGCAGCAGCGACGCGGGCAGCGACTGCGCTACGTCGCGTCACCTTGCGTCCATTCACCTCGCAGAATGTTGGAAGGAACGAGTGAACGAGCGAACGAGCATTGTGCGGACAGCAAACCGAAAGAGAGAGAGAGATAGAGAGAGAGAGAGAGAGAGAGAGCGTGTGAGAGAGGGAGAGATAGTGTAAAGGGGGAACGGGTGGGGTGTGTGCTGGACTGGGTGCACAATTTCATTTCATGCGCTTCGATTCGATTCCATTTTCCATTTCGTTCTACACACTTTGGCGTATTTGTGTTATTGTCTGCGGCCTTCTCACGTCCAGTCATAGCGCCCTCTCCCCCTTCCACTCACTCTCCCGCTCTCTGCTCCATCTGAGCAACTTGCAAATTCTCTGAGTTGCGATCTACGAGTAGCTCAGACGTAATTATTGTCGATACATGAGCACAAGATATTTACAACGTAGAATCCAAAGTGGAAGTTCGATGCACTATGAACGGAAGATGCTGCACCCAAAGGCAAAGCCACATACACACGAGATACATTTGCAGATAGAGAGATACAGATACAGATACAGATACAGATACAAATGCGCATTGAGTGGATGGCAGCGTGTTGATGTTTTTATATCTATCAGATGCCGATGCCCCATTTGCCATTTGCTGATGTCGTCTTCGCCATTTGCTGCTTGCCACTTGCCACTTGCCGCCTGCCGCATGCCGCATGCCACATGCTGCCGTCTGCTGCTTGCGGCTCTTGCCATCGAGATCCAAGCGATGGCAAATTGTGGCCACCGAATGGGTCATTTGAGCTGTCAGTAGGGACACTTCTTGGCTAGGGGCATTTCCGTTGGGGCATTTACCATAAAACTTCTGCAACGAGGGTTTGCCACAGCACACAAAAATACAACTATAAGTGCTTTAGCTGAGAGTTGGACAGAGAGTGCGGGCGAGAGAGAGAGAGAGCGAGAGGGCTTGACTAAAATGCACGATGATGATTGACTAAAGAGATACGCGCAGAGATAAAGATACAGCTTCACTAAGAGTGAAACTTACTCAAAAGATAAACATAACTCTTAAGTACAGAACAGACAGATACTAGTTGCCTCTGCTTTATGCTTCTACATTTCGTTATACTTCCTCTGCTAAGCTGACCCACACACTCTATTTTTTGCTGTCTTTAATCCTAAGTCAAGTATATTATGTCGGATATTTTAATTTTTTTGTTCTATATATCGTAAGTTTTTCACTTTGCAGTTGTCGTGTGTCTCTTGAACCGCTGACCTTTATGGTTTTCTAAGCCGCATTAACTGTAAAAACATACTTATCAAAACACGGCAGTCAGCTCCCCAATAAAAATGAAAGGATCCCTAAGCAAACCCCAACCTCAAAGCTCTGACGCCCGACATCTGACCCCCTGGGCGTACACGAGAATTGTTCACATTCTCTGATTTCGAGAAAGTTTCTAAATTAATTTCACATAAAAAAGTGTCAAACAAACTGAGCAACAGCACCAGAATCCGCAGCAGCAACAGTCGCAATAACAAGAGAAACAACAGAAACAACATTTGAGCGCAGCACCCATAAAATTTGATGTGGCGCAGACGCGTCAACGCACGCACAAAGGTCACAGACGCCGCTCTTTGCAAGGGTCAAAGTTCAGAGACGCCGAAATTTCGGTATTACGTTCATAGACAAGGATGAGGCATAAACATTCCAAAAAGCAGAGCCACCGCTATTGTCAGACAGTCAAGCCAGACCTCTTCACGTTTTGCTCTACGATAATCGCATTAGACTAACATTAGACATTAGACTAAAGTTTCTATGATTGGAATCGAATTCTAGTTCTAGTTCTAGTTCTTTTATAGTCGCTCATCTCGTATTTTTCTAGTTATTCTTCTAGTAGCTCTCCTCGTAGTCTTTCATGTAGAAGTTCTTCTACTAATTTATCTAGTGTTACACGTAGAGTTAAATCTATTTTCATCTTATCCCTCCATTTTGATCCCGTCAAGAATTTATGTCACTTATAGGATCACACCCATTCCTGGGCCAACGACGCATCTCAATATTTCTCGCATATTTATGCTTCAGCTGTGCCCATTCGACTGTCATCTATATATTAAGACCTCATCTGTATCGGCTTTCATAGGCAATGCTCCATGCATGGCTCATGGATCAGACATAAATTCGCAGACTAATCCAGCTCCATAGGCTGCTTCTTGCTTGCATATTTATTTATTAGCCACCGATTGCTGCTGAGCTCTGTACAAATTGTAGGCCTAAGGGCCCTGCCCCACCCACACCCTGGACTCTCCCCTGACGCCATCCCTCATGGACGTCATTCAAGCAGCCGCCGACGTCTGGAAAAGTTCTGTATTTTCTCCTTGGTTTTCTTTTCTTTTTGTCGTTGAGTCTCTACTTTGAACAACAAATCACTTGAAGTGGAATATTGTCGTCTGTGTTGATGTCTACGCACGAAAATCGGCAGCAGTCACTGGCAACGGAGCAGGAGCAGGAGCAGGAGGAGGCAGCCACCCTCGCGTGCCCTGGCAGAAGCTGCCTGCTCTGGCACTCACGTGCGCGCCACGTAAACTTTTATTTTCCTCTCATTTGCTTTAGCGATTTTTGAACAGCGACGGCGAATTCAATGTCTGCCTGTCTGTCCCTCTGTCCGCTTGTCCTTCTGTCTTGGTCCTTTTGTCTGTCCCAAAGTCTTTGTTTGTTTTGTCTGCTGCTGATTTGGCATCGCATATGTTTGCAGCAGTCAATCCCCCGCTCCCCGCTCGCCGCTCCCCGCTCACTGTCCTTGCCCTCACACACACAGCCAGACCCTCAAACCACTTTCTTGGACGCCTCTGCTCAGACGAAGACGACATTTGGGATTTCTTTGCGATGTTTTATTTATCTAAAAATGAAAAGGCACACACAGACACACACAGGCGCACAAATCTAAGGCGGTTACAGCCGCTGCCTAGGGTAAATGCGAGTCGAGTGACATCGGGGGGGGTTGTGGGGAGTCAAGGGGAAATTTAATGTCGCTTTGATTTGTGGCAATCGCGCGCTAAACGCCGCAATTTTTAAAGTGAAATTGCTCGAATTGTTCGACGTCTGGAACTGCAAACGAGAGAAAAAAAAATCTCCTGACAATGACACGGACAATGACAATAGCAATGACGATGACAATGACAATGTGACAAGATGCGTTCGCGATTACACGCAGAGAAAAAGTTGAGTATTTCGGCTGAACTGATTAAGGGATATATACAAGTAAATAATTTTGATATATAGAGCACAATTTCGGTAAACTCTGCTCGTTTTTAATCTCAGTGTGCTTTCAAGATTTTGTTAATTTTTGCTCCGGTTTTCTTTGGGTTTTGATCTGGTTCCGGTGCT